GCGAGAAAGCGTCAGACCAAATAAATGGCAAGGGTGCCTTGGCTATATATAGCAGAGGAAAAACCTTCGATTGGGGGAGATCTGTTCCCCTTCCTCTCTCCCAAGCTCTCTTCTTGTAATCTTGATAGGAAAGAAATAATTCGCAGAAGAACATGTAAAGTTATCTCCCCCATCGATTGATGGAGGTCACAATGTTGAACTTCAATAAGATTAGTTTTATTTCTTTTATCCTATGTATTACCTATATTATCAATTCTTTGATCTAGAATTTATTATGTCTGACTAAAATTTAGTCTTTCATTTTCTTTGATTGATTTTTTCAAAAAGATTCCAATATCTTTTGAGTCTGATGAGAAATAATACCAAGTTCTGTCTCGGCATTTGAGTGATATTTGAGTCAAAAATCGACCACCCTTTGAAGAGATGTGTGACAGAGAGTACTAGATACTTTTGGAAGTTTTCAAATTCGGATACCCTCTTAGGAAAATTAGGCATGCTAGTTTTCTTTTTGTAGCAAAACAAAATTTTATATAGAATAAAGTTAGTCATTTGTTGTAGGCAAAAACTTTTAATGAAGCAGGTTCTCCTCCTAATGGTTTGACCAATTTGTAAATCGGAAGGCGGAAGAGATTTCACTATTTAATAATTAAACCATGAACAGTCGTAGCTTTGTTTTAGGCACGATTAATAAATTATCGTGACTATGGGGAACTATAGTCATGGTATGTAATCCTCAATTCGAGTGTACATTTCACGTGACTTGACCATAACTTCTAATAATAATAATAATAAATATGTTGTGAGTCGCGGGTGCATTTCACGTGACGTTGTTCGCAATGTGTACAAAGACAATAAGTGCAAGACATCGCGACTTATTTAAATAAATTCCATAAATTCTAAAAGCAATTAAAATTCTATTAAAAGCGGTTAGAAAGTTAAAAATACACAATAGATTTTAAACATATAATAAATCAGATAATTAGGTCACTTATTAATAGTGGAGCGACCGTGATAAAACTACGGAACTCGAGAGTGCCCCACACCTTCTCCCGGATTAACATAATTTCTTACCCGGTCTTCTGTATTTGCGGGCCCTAAAAAGAGTTAATTTCCTCGATTTGGGATTTAAAATAAACCGGTGATTTGGGACACCATAAATTATTCCAAGTGGAGACTTTGACATTCAATTAAATAATCCCATTTTGATTAATATCACTTTAATTGGAAAAACTCCCTATCCCCTCGGAAAAAAGGAGGTGTGACCCAATTGTCGGAATCCTTCCCGTGATGTCTCTTACAATTTCGCTTAAGTTTTCTCTACTGATCATGAGCACTCGAATTATCTTAATTCTCTCTCGAGCAACTACAATAATGTACTAGTCATATTCTCTTGAATTACGCTAGCTTGTACTTTTTCACCGCTCACTATGATCACGTCAAAGCTTCGCTATCTCTAATCCCGCTTTTAAATCCTCCGTGTTGATTTCTCACATACATTAGGAGTGATGTTCAACGACTACCTAAATATGTACCCTTTCTCAAGCAGTACACACTAAATAGGCACAATCAATTGATGACCATTCAATCAACGGTAACAAACACGTAGTTGAACAAGTAGCGAAATCTAACGGCTTAATTATATAAAAACATATCAAGAATTTATCCTACAAAAGGTTTCATCAAAACTCTAGTTAACAAATTAGCTATTCATAGTCATGCTACCAATCATGATAACAATTTAAAGCATTAAAATACAGATTAAGGAAGAACGAAAGAGAAAACTCTTGTGATTCGTTGCTTCCAAGTGTTCTCGTAGCCTTTTACCTCTCCAATCATGTCTCCCCCTTAAAAACTAAGTTTAAGAGGTATTTATAAGGTAGGGTTGAGGTCTACACGTCCAAACATAATGAGAAAATAAACGTGGCTCGGATAGCATCGTCGGCGCGGGGCATTATCAGAGGCACCAACATTACTCCGCGAGGCACCGTTAGAGGCGCCAACACTTTCCCACAAAGCACTATCAGAGGCGCCAATGACAGTGCCCTAGATAAAGCCTTGCACTGTCTATGGCCATGACTTTTCATTACCTTGCACGTCTTTTTTATGGCTCCATTTTATAGCTTTGAGGTACCATTTCGTGTAACGTTTCTTCACTTCATGTCCAAGCATTCCTACACATAAAATAAACTCTATTAAGCTCAATTGTCGCACAAATATGCATCCAAACAACAAGCAAGTAAGGTAAATAACATCAAATATATATGAAATTAGAGCACGACATCAACATGTTGTATATAACTATAGATTATAATAAAGAGAATTTTTTAATTAGTTTTCTTTTTACAATTAAAGTATAATAAGAAAACTAAACAAAGAAATTATCTCGGACCAAGTAACCTTTAGGCGGGTCAATATTCCGCGTAGTTACTAACTAAACCTATTTTAGCTCACCCAAATTCAGCCCAACTGCCTATTTAAAACCCGTACTTTATATGGTGAAAAATGATTCATATGGACCATCAAGGGCGGATATATGTTGGGGTAAGCGGTGTGACGTGATACCGTTTCGCCAAAAAGAAAATCACTGAAAAGCTGTGTAAATTATGATTAAACAGTTAATAATTAGATAAAATGAGCTGGATGACACCCTTGTCAACTGTCATGAAAATACCAACAGAGCAAAGCGAAAAGCAATGCATACCCAACTATGACTTGTTTAAAATTTCTCAAACTTCATCAAAGTTTTGCTTTACTACTTTGCTTTGGAGTGGACTATAAAAGTAAAATCGAATTTTTGATTTGTAATTTATGGAAATACTAAATTAAAACATATTTTCTTAAAGTATCTTTCAAGGTTTCAATTCAAGTTCAACCTCTCAAATGTCAGCTAAGTAAGAATAAAGAGTACGTTTAAATTAAAGATAAAATAGAAAACTTAGACTATTGTTAATGCATACAAATATGAAAGAATAATAAAAACTCGCCCAAAATAATTGTATTAATATTATTTAAATAATGACTTCGCTTACGTAAAGTCCTGTGTACTCCTGTTTGTCCATAGATTTTTCACGATTCAGATTTCTCACTGTCGGGATCGTGATGGCGCCTAACTTTTCAGATGCTAGGCAAGCCAACAGACAAAGATTTGATACGCTAACCGCTAATCAATTAAGTAAATAACAACAATTAAATCAAAACAGATTAAAGGAGTACAATATCTCATAATAACCCAAGTACTTATACACGACTACCCAGAAGTTGGTGTCACAATTCACAAACTTCTAAGAGTCACTACAAATACTGGCTGAACGAAAATACAATTGTCTTTAAATTAAAAGAAAACAGTAAACTAGAATAACTGGAAGGGGACTACAGGATCTACGAACACCGGCACATCTACATTGGGTCTCTTGTTGGACCGAAGGCAGCAACTCAACTCACCTCAACACGGTCCAATACCGAAATCTGCACAGAAAGTGCAGAGTGCAGTATCAGGACAACCGACCCCATGTACTGGTAAGTGCTGAGCCTAACCTCGACGAAATAGTGACGATATTAGAACATGACACATACTTAACCTGTGCAATTAAACAATATACTAGCATAATACAACTAATAGAAACTAAACAGAAATTAACGGGAGGGAAAGTATGCTAAGGGGGTTGCAAGAATAAGAATTATAGCAATAAAGGAATTTAAAACAGCTATAACACCTTGAACCGGTAATAGAAAGTAAACACAGCAAACAGAAAATGCACGGTATCACCCTTCGTGCTTTTACTCTCAATCTCACTAGTTAATCAGTTATAGAAACGTGCACGACTTCACCCTTCGTGCTTTATCACTCATCCTCACCATATAAATAACAGAAATATGTACGGCATCACCCTTCGTGTTTTATCACTCAACCTCACCATATAAATAATAGGAACGTGCACGTCATCACCCTTCGTGCTTTATCACTCAATCTCACCAAAACAAGAGGCAACAATAATAGAGATATAGAAAGGACAACATCAAGTCTTACTTCAACGCTTATTTCCACAATACCAATCTCAACTTTGAGTAAACGTTCAACAAATACCAAATCCAATAAACAAGATAAGGAATTTCTCAACACATCGAATTGCTAGTCTAAACATGAACAACATGATCAAAGTATACGACATCTACAAGGATAAGATTTACCCACATGCTATGACTCGACAATAACGTATAGATACTCCTCACTTCACCTATACGTTGTACTCAATATCCAAACACGTAACAAGTAAGCAAACAATACCTAATTCCTCAAGCTAAGGTTAGCCATGACACTTACCTCGCTTCTACGGCCAAACTCAAGGCGCAATCACCGCTTTTCCTTTCACACAATCCTCCGGACCAATATAATCTAGTAATTTACAACAAACAAATTCAATTTAAGCCTTTGGAACTACCCACGTTTACAAGAAATTAGATTTAGGCCATTTTTGAAAAGTCAACAAAAGTCAACACCCGGGCCCGCTTAGTCCAAACTTGAAATTCGGATCAAAATTCGATTACCCATTCACCCCCGAGCCCGGATATACAATAAATTTTGGAATCCGACCTTAAATTGAGGTCTAAATCCCCAAATTTCGAAATCCCTAATTTCTACCTAAAAATCCCCAATTCCACCATACAAATCCTAGATTCTAGGTTGAAATCTTATAAAATGAAGTGAAAGATTGAAAGAAATGGGTTAAGAATCATTTACCTATGATTTGGGGGAGAAATGGTCTTTGGAAAATCGCCTCTTGAGGTTTAGGTTTTGAAAATTTGGGAAATAAATCAAAAACCCCGTCTAAGTCTCTTTTAAACAGCTGCAGATGTCGCATTTGCGACCTGAGCTTCGCAAATGCGAAGGGACCATCGCAAATGCGAAGTCCTTCACACCTCTGTTGCCTTCGCAATTGAGAACATGAACTTCCGCAAATGTGACAAAATGATCGCATTTGGGATCACTGCCCCTCCCAGTTTTACTTCGCAAATGCGAAGAAATCTTCGCAATTGCAAAAACTGTATGGCCCAGCTTCCCTTTGCAATTGCAATGAAAGCCTCACAAATGCATACTCTGCAGGCAGTGGTGAAGCTAGAAAATTTTTCAAGGGTGTTCAAACATGAACAAGAAAAAAATTCTCAACAAGTAGGTGCACCAAAAAATTTAAATCAAATAACGTGATATCGAGCTAAATTATAAAAATAAAGGTAATAGTAAAAACAATTGAATAAATCCAAACTAATATAAAGAAGCGTCGAAAAGAGATTCTACTTATTAGAATTGTACTCGACGAGGCTTCATCTCTTGAAATATTTTTATAATAGACTTATTAGAAGCAGTACTAAATACTTCTCTTTCTTTCTACATAAGGCACTATGCAACCGCCTAAAAAGTCATCATCCATTCGATTCCGCAAGTCATTTTTGATAAACTTCATTGCTGAGAAAGCTCTCTCAATAGTTGCAGTGGCAACAGGCAGAAGCAACGCAAGTTTCACTAAGAGAAATACAAGAGGATAAACTGAATGCTTTTTTGTCTTAACTAATATTTTTGAAAGATCAGAAAGCCCATTTAGATAGGAAAACATTTCATCAAAATCATGAACAAAAATAATATAACTCGCAAATTGATTCTCAAGAGCACTCATCCTAAATTCATCAAAGTCATCAGGATACAATTCATCCATCTTCATTATTTTTCTGATCAAAACTTGAAATGAGTCAATGGGATTCAAACAAGCAACTCCATGAAGCAAATCAGTCGTCGCTTCGTCAAAACGATCATTAAGTTCTTGAAGTTTCCAATGAAAAACTTTACAAAACACATCAACATGATAATGATGAAAGACAATATAATCATCATGTTTTCGTCGTGATTTCCGGAGTTAACATATAGATCATCAAAATTAGGCACTAAAATATCATGCTTGATACAAAATATAGATACTTTATCAACAAACAAATTACATTCATTATCCCTCCTTAAAGTTTGCATTATTTTCTTTGCTACTTGAACTAGTAGCATGACATTTGCAATATCTTGCTCTTTTTTTTGTAAGGATACATTCAACTCATTTGTGATTCCCAAAATATCTGTCATTAAATGCAACCAGAAAGCAACCTTATATGTTTGACAAGCTTTGAGATACCCCAATGCCTTAGCTTTATCATCTAAAGTACTTGCATCTTCAACAAGAGCATCAAGAACATCAATAATAGAGCCAAACATATGAATAAAGTTTCCAAATGACTTGAAGTGAGATCCCCAACGAGTATCACCAGCTCTAACAAGACCAAGTTCTTGATTCAAGCATCTACCTGTTTTTAGTTCACCCATATCTAATGCCTCTTGGAGTTTTTCGTTTTGAGAATCTCGAAATTCATCCACACGTTTATAAGAAGCTCCCAACATATTCAAAATATTTGAAACCAATAATATAAGTTCACCTACTTGAACACACTTCTTAGAAATCATAACAAGAGTCAGTTGAAATTGATATGCAAAACAATGAATAGAATGAGCCGATCTACTTTCTTGTTTAATCAACTTTTTAAGACCTTTAATATCACCTTGCATATTGCTTGCCCCATCATAACATTGTCCACGTATAGAAGATAAACTTAAAGAATGATGAACAAGTACATCAACTATTGCTTTCTTTAGAAATAAAGCACTAGTAGTTCGAACATGAACAATGCCAATAAACCTCTCCATCACACTTCCTTTTTTTATCGACATATTGTAAAACAATAGCCATTTTCTCTTTGTGTGACACATCTAAAGACTCATCAACTAATAAAGCAAAGTAATCACCATTTAGATCCTTTATTATAGCCTTAATAGTTTCTATCTTACATGTGGTCACAATTTCTTTTTGAATATCTGAAGAAGTCATCTTATTATTTTTTGGAGCACATTTCAACACAAAGGGTTTAATCTTATCACATTTATCAGCATACCATGAAAGAATTTCAATAAAATTACCCTTGTTCAATGACGTTTCACTTTCTTTATGACCGCGAAATGCAAATCCTTGATTCAAGAGAATCCTTACCACATCAACTGAAGCACTTAAGCGAACCCAATACTCACGCTTAGTTTGATCAGAATGTTTCAAATGCAACAACAATAGATTGTTTTTGCTGCATTAGAGCATCACAATTTCTATTTGCTTTATTGTGAATACTATTTGGCAAACCAACATGTTTCTTAAAACTTTCGCTTCTGTTCCAATTCCTAAACCCATTACTCGAAAAAACATCACCACCACCTTGATGAATACTTTCGCTCTTAAATAAATAACAAGGTAAACAATATGCAGCATTGATATTTACACTATACTCCAACCAATTAAATCCATCAAACCATATAGGACCACCTTGAATGTATGCCCTCCTTATTTCATCACAATGGTTTGGATGATACTCCAATATTGGAGTTCTTTCAGCTGGGTCGGACTGTGGAGCAATTGTATTAATTTCTTGTCTCAGAGAAGAATGTGAGGAAAAATCTGATTGATTGGCATTTTCTTCTCTATTAGATTGATTTTGAGAAGCCGAAGTTATTTTTGGTACTTTGTTGTAAAATTTCAACAAGTTCATTGCAACTTCAATTCCCTAAATGTATAAAGTAGTTAAAACATATTATTCCTAACTTATTAGGAGACACACAAAATCAGTAAACTTTAACTATAACTCAAGAATTTACATGTCTTTCTATTTGTGCACAAATCTCTTGAGTAGACCCTTTTTAGCCACAGTACCAAACCAAAAATCAGAGAGCTTTAATACCAAAGCTAAAACAGAAAAGAAAAGACAAGAGTTTCTAAGTTATAACCAGTGCAATGGAGTAATGGAGTTATTGGAGTGATGAATAGCGCCGACAGAAATCAACCAGAACTTCCAAACCTGGAACTTCACTTGTCACTAGCAGAAAGGCAGAGAGATTGGAGAAGATGGAAACCAAAATTACCTAGGTTTTTTTTTGTTTGTGCGAGGAATGAGAAATTGAGAGGGATCGATTTTGACCATTTAGTGATTTAGGGATTTTGATTTGTTTATTCCAAACTTTTGTTTTATAAAGATTTATTTGTTTCATTTTTTTATTTTATAAATTAAATCAAACAGATCTAACGACACCGTTTAGTCTTAAAAAAAAATTGCAACGCAGCAAAAATTGTGTTGAGTGGAGATTGAACCTGCAACCGTGAGGCCTTCTTGACCACCCTTTGCCACTAGGCTACGCCTCTTCATTGTTGCAAGGGTGTTCAATATGTATTACATGTAGGTAAATTCAAAATTTTTATCTATATATACAATGTAATTTTTCGACAAAAATTTGCTACACTGTAGCTTTGCCCCTGCCTGTAGGGTTCGCAATTGTGATGCCTGATCTCGCATTTGCGACATCAGAGGCCTGCAACAGGTTTAGCTATACCAGCAAAATTTTCTAAGTTCTAAAACACTCTATAGCCTATCCGGAACTCAACCTAACCCTCGGGGCTCCAAACCAAACATGCACACAAGTTTTAAAATATCATACGAACTTGCTCGTGCGATCAAATTACCAAAATAATATCTAGAACTACAAATTTAGCACCAAATTGCATGAGATTTTAAAGAAAGTTTCAAAACTTCTATTTTCTCAACCGAAGGTTCGAATCACGTCAAACCAACTCCATTTCTCAGCAAATTTCACAAACATGACTTAAATATTATATTAAACCTGTACCGGGCTCGAAATTAAAATACGGGCTCAATAATAATGAGATCAAACATTAATCAAATTCTTTAAATTATTAGATTTCTAATCTTACAATTTTCATCAAAAATTCATTTCTCGGGCGAGGGACCTCAGAGTTCTATTTCGGGCATACGTCCCGGTCACATATTTTACTACGGACCCACCGGGATCATCAAAATACGGGTCCGGACCCGTTTACCCAAAACGTTGACTAAAGTCAACTAAAATTAATTTTTAGGCCAAAATATATTATTTTTCTCAAATTTCCACATAGTGGCTTTCCAGAAAAGCAACTGGACTGTGCACGCAATTCGAGGAGGAATAAAATAAGGGTTTTAAGGCCTTAGAACAAAGAATCAAGTTTTAAAACATAAGATGACCCTTTGGGTCATCACATTCCCCGCCTCTAAGATAATCGTTTGTCCTCAAACGAACATAGAAAATACAGGAGCCGGTGAATAGGTGGGGTGATCTGCTTCGCATATCGGACTTAGACTCCCATATAGCTGCCTCAACGGGCTGACCTCTCAACTGCACTCGGACCGAAGGATAACTTTTCGATCTCAACTGACGAACCTGCCGATCTAAAATGGCTACCGGCTCCTCCTTGTAGGTCAAATCCTGATCCAACTAGATAGTGCTGAAGTCTAACACGTGAGATGGATCGCTATGATACTTCCGAAGTATGGACACATAAAATACTAGATGTACCGCTGACAAAACTGGTGGCAACGCAAGTTGTAGTCCACCTCACCCACTCGATCAAGGATCTCAAAAGTCCCGATGAACCTAGGGCTTAGCTTGCCCTTCTTTCCAAACCTCATTACGCCCTTCATAGGCGATACCCAAAGAAACACTCTCTCTCTGACCATAAATGCCACATCATGAACCTTGCGGTCGGCATAACTCTTTTGTCTGGATCGCGCTGTACGAAGTCTATCCTGAGTGATCTTAACCTTATCCAAGGCATCCTGTACTAAATCTGTATCCAATAACCGAGCCTCCCCTTGCTCAAACCACCCAATCGGTGATCGATACCATATACCATATAATGCCTCATAGCGAGCCATCGGATGCTCAAGTGATAGCTGTTGTTGTAGAAAAACTCCGCCAATGGCAAGAACTGATCACTAGAACCTCCAAAGTTAATAACACAGGCGCAGAGCATATCCTCCAAGATCTGAATAGTACGCTCGGACTGTCCGTCCATCTGAGGATGAAATGATGTGCTCAACTCGACCAGCATACCCAACTCATGCTGAACTTCCCTCCAGAAATATGAGGTAAACTGCGTACCTCGATAAAAAATGATAGACACGGGCACACCATGAAGATGAACGATCTCACGGATATAAATCTCTGCTAATTGCTCCGAAGAACAGGAAACTGCCATAGAGATGAAATGCGATCCACAATAATCCAAACTGTGTCGAACTTCCTTTGAGTCCTTGGGTATCCAAAAATAAAATCCATAGTGATACGCTCCCACTTCCACTCAGGAATCTCTATCTTCTGAAGCAAACCACAAGGTCTCTAATGCTCGTACTTTGCTTGTTGACAATTTAAACACCGAGATACGTAAGCAACAATATCCTTCTTCATCCTCCTCCACTAATAATGTTGCCGCAAGTCTTGATACATCTTAGCGTCGCCCGGATGAATAGAATACCGGGAACTGTGGGCCTCTTCTAGAATCAACTCACGAAGCCCTTCCACATTAAGCACACAAACACGACCATGCATCCTCGAAACTCCATTATCTCCAGCTGTAACCTGCTTGGCATCACCGTGCCACACTATGTCCCTAAGGACAAGCAAATGAGGGTCATCATACTATCACTACCTGATATGCTCAAACAAGGAAGACCGAGTGACTGTGCAAGCTAAAACACGATTGGGCTCAGAAACATCCAACCTCACAAACTGATGGGATAATGCCTAAACATCCAATGCAAGTGATCTCTTACTGACTGGAATGTATGCAAGACTGCCCATACTAGCTTACTTCCTGCTCAAGGCATCGGCCACCACATTGGCCTTCCTATGATGATACAACATGGTGATATCATAGTCTTTTAGTAGCTCAAACCACCTTCTCTGCCTCAAATTGAGATCCTTTTGTTTGAACAAATACTGCAAACTCTTATGATCTGTGAACACCTCACACGACACGACATATAGATAGTGCCTCCAGATATTCAGTGCGTGAACAATGGCTGCTAGCTCCAAGTCATGAACTGGATAATTCTTCTCGTGAACCTTCAGCTGTCGGGAAGCATATGAGATAACCTTGCCACCCTGCATCAATACCGCACCAAGTCCAATACGAGATGCGTCACAATATACTGTATAAGGCCCTAAACCTGTGGGCAATACCAACACCGGTGCCATAGTCAAAACTTACTTGAACTTCTGAAAGATCGTCTCACACTCGTCTGACCATCTGAACGGGGCACCCTTCTGGGTCACCCTGGTCAACGGGGCTACTATAGATGAAAACCCTCCACAAATCGACAGTAATAACTCGCCAAACCCAAGAAACCACGAATCTCTATGGCTGAAATAGGTCTAGGCCAATTCTGAACGGCCTTAATCTTCTTAGGATCCACCTAAATACCCTCTACTGATATAACTCAACCAAAACTCACATTTCAAAAATTTAGCATATAACTGGTTATTTCTCAAAGTCTGAAGAACGATCTGAAGATGTTGTTCATGCTCCTCTCGGTTATGAGAGGAGATCAAGATATCATCAATAAACACAATTACAAAGGAATCCAGGTAGGGCTTGAACACCCAGTTCATCAAATCCATAAATGTTGTCGGGGCATTTGTCACCCCAAATGACATTACTAGAAACTCATAATGCCCATACCGAGTCTGTAAAGCTGTCTTAGGGATATCGAATGCCCTAATCCTCAACTGATGGTAGCCATACCTCAAATCGATCTTTGAAAATACTTTGGCACCCTGAAGCTTATCAAATAAGTCATCAA